ACTACTGAGTTTAAATAATATTTCAAGGTCATTTTAGGTGCCAAAAATTGTATTATCCCAAGTATTGTCTCGGCAGAGAGTATGATACTGTTCTATCATGATTTAGTGCTGTTTAATCATGTCCCATCCATGCTGCCAATTGGTCCTGTGGCACAGCCTGAGGAACTTGTGGGTTTATTTTCACTGCTGAAACAACCTGGGGTCACAACTCTCTCTTCAGGGTCTTCCACTGTGATAGGTCTTCCCTATCCAAGCATTCACAGAGAAGGTGTTGAAACCTCCTGTGACAGTGCCTTACTGGCATGCTGGGCACCCTTCCCCAAGCAGATTTTTTTGTGGTCCCAGGATAATAATTTGGTCAGGCCAATGGAGATGGACTGGCCAAATGTGGAATAAAGGTCCAAACAGCAGATAATGGACTTCATTGTTGCTGAACTGATGTTCCTAAAATAATCCACATAAGGCAGTGAAATACCACAACACAAGGTTTTGTTTCCTTCCTCCTGACTTACACATCCAATAAAGAGTGACAGTTCAGAATCTGGTCACCATCTTTCCTGGGAAAATGACTGATGACTAGGAAATGAATTCTTCAAAGTAACTTTGAAAGCCTCAGCCAAACTGTCCCAAGCTTTTAAAAACTGGCTGTTAGTATGGAAGAAGTTAAGGGATTGCAAACCCTTCCAAGTTCCTTAGACTTCAGTGGGAGTACTTACTGCTGGAGCTGGGATTTCAGTGTTTGTAAAATGCATTTAAGAGAATAATAAGAAAGTATGCAGAGTACTAGTTAACTGACCATTTAGAAAATCATAGTGTTTCTCATCATTGTGTATGAACTGCAGTAGTTATAACCACCCTGATGGTACAAAGCCCTAACATTTATGCAGTTCTCTTAATTTGCCCCAGCACATGCAAACAATTCAATTGAAGGCTACTACAATGTTAACAAATATCTAACCAGCAAATCTCAAGGGCTGTAGTCTTATCACATTAGTTGTGGAAAGCTTTTACATAAATTGCATCATTTAAATATTTACAAAATATAAACTTTCTTATCTTATCAAAAATAGTTCTTTGCACAATTAAACAACAGTAATCCTTTCACATGATGCTTTTTAAGCTAGGCATTAAATCACTGCATAAAAACAAACAGCCTTTCACAGATGTAAAATAAAGCCAAAATATGGAGATAAAGTGTTATCATTAACAGTTTAAATATTTTAATGGTGTGAGCCAATCCATAAATTATATTGTGCATTGAACTTACTGAGGATGCAACCTAATGAAAAATTCTAGCTGTTGATTCTATAAAGAAAATCTGTTTTAAAAAATCTTTTGCTTTATGGCAGATTCCTTTGGGCGAAATCTCATGTGGTTAATTTTGATAATGACAGTGAACCACCAGTGAGATGGTTGAATGTGGCAGGTTATTGCATAGAATTCAAGAGTGGGGTGACAACCAGCTGACTTGCAAAATGTGTGTTCAGATACTCAGGAAATACCTGCAGAGGGTTTTATTTCCTTCAAATATCAAACTGTATTTCTGTCCCTTAGACCTGTCCCTTGTGTGTTTGAAGGAGAACCTGTTAAAAATCCTAAGGTTGCTGTTTGGTACCCCATTCACATTAGAGAGGCACAGCTTGACCCTCCTTTTCCAGGCAGACACTGCTGAGCTCTCTGCAGTCACAGACGCTCCTCGCTTCCCGACACTTTTCTGCACATTATGCAGAAGGCAGTTCTCTGAGGCTGCAAAGCAAATGCTTCGTGGTCAACAGCTGAACTCTTTCCCTTTGCGGGTTTTTCTGAAATCTGCAGAAATGAACTACCTAGTGGATCCATCTACTCCCAGTTTTTAAAACAAAGCCATGAGGACTATGTCTAATGTGTCTGACAAACTCTCTTAACTCTCAGGCTAATGAGATCTTGAGATTTCTCCACTCGACTACCCACCACGTGGATCTTCAGGACATTGTGTCTATTAAATACTTGAAAAGTTTAGCATGTGTCTCTGCTCATGGAGTAACACATTCAAATGTGTCATCAGGAGTCCTTTTTGCTTTAAGCTGTCCCTGCATGCAGCCTGATGTTTACTTAGCTGTCATTTTAGTCGAGGGGTGCTTGGACTACCCATTGTCTGGTAGTACCTGTTCCCCCCAAGGCTGATCCCTCTGGAATCCCACACGGTAAGAGTGATTGCTGCCCCTGCAGCAGCTGTGTGCACCACACAGGGTGGGTGGTTTGGCCATGATTCCTGTACTGCATCTCACTTGCAGGTGTGTACATCAGTCATGGTCTCGCACCTCCTGCAGCGCACGTAGCAGCACCAGACGAACTTGCACTCGCACCTTTCCACGTGCCTGACAACGTGGGTGTTGTACCCACGCCCACAGCACAGCAGGTTACAGCCCTCGGGGCCCTGCGACGTGCGGTTACATTCTCTTCCCTGAGTGCCAGGGATCCCCAGTTTTTGGTCTTCGACACAGTAATTGGGTGATTTGTTCACATACAGCAGGTCCTCCTTCCCAATTGGTATTTTTCTCTGGCTTTTCTCTTTCCTGCGTAGCTTTTTTTTCAGTCTGTCTGATATTTGTATGCTGTTTTCATACTTGTCCTTTAAAAACCGGCCAATCTTTTCAAAGGATGACATGGTTTTCCAACAAGTTTTCACAGCACAGGACCCAGAAACACCATGACAACGGCAATCCACAGACATCAGCTTTGCTACAGCCTGAAAGCAAAGGGAGAACAACATTTGAATGTGGTCTTTCATTCATCAGGAATGCTGCCTGACATCAGTAGCAAAGAGGTCTCAAAGTATTTAATATTACAGCTGCCACTGCCATTTCCATAACAGGGAAGTCAGAGCACGTGTTAGGAACCAGGTTTCCCTTCCTGGATGCCCACTGTGAGAGGCATGATCTTCAGACTTGCTCTTCATTTGCAGTTTGCAGTGGCCATAATGTAGCAATATAGATCACAACAGTGAAAGCTGTGATTTCTGGATGGCTTTCCATTCTGGAGGATCCTAAATACCTGAAGGCCATGTCCTGTGTTGCTCCTCCCACTGCTGGAATGCAAAAGGCTCTCATGGGCAAAAGGGTCTAGTGGGTCTAGCAGAAAGGGAAAGCAAGGATAGGACAGGTCATGGCACCCTTCCTATTTTGGAAGACACTTACTGGGCAAGTAAGCACCCATTTATGTTGCCTTTTAAGGGTGTTTTACAGCTACCATGATGATCATTAAACATTCACAACTGTAACTAAGGCCACAGGAATGGCTGAAGTCACACAACAGTGCCTGGGCAAACAGTGTGGCTCAGCACACAAAGCAGCACAGGAGGAGGCACCTCAGGGCAAACTGTTGGAAGAGCAGGAGGATGCCCACATATCTAAGCTTCACAGAAAGTCTGTCAAAATACCCACCATGGCTTAGCAGAGGTGTCTTTGGCTCAGGTATTCTCTAGTAAATCTCAGATGCTTCTCACTTAGAGTCTTAAGCCTTTTTCTTTTAATTTAGGCATAACTTGTTCTAGCACAGGTTTCTAGTGTTTCCAGTTTTGTAATGGCTCTATTTAACACAACCAGGTAGTTGCATTATATTACTTTTATAACTGTCAATGTTTTAGCAAGGTTTCCACAGTTATTGCCAACACTTAAACACTTACCCTTAGATGAGATATTTTTCCATGCCCATGCAGAAGCAAGGGCTGGGCTGAGCAGTAACTGTCTCACCAACAATGGAAATCTGAAGCCTGTGTAAAGCTTTTTGTAACACACAATTTTGGCTCATTTTATGGGATATCAAACCTCAAATAACTGGAATCTGTAAACAAGCAGTAACTTCCTTTATCTCATATCCTTGAGACTGATTCAAACACTCAGGAGACAATCAATACAATACTTCATTCTCTAGCATCTGTCATCGTATAAAATCATATCATTAGTCTTGTGACAACCCTCACATTAATGTTTGAAGAAGGCACTGAAAAATCACACATGTGCAGATATAGTAGGAGATACAGTTTTTGGGTTGTTTTACATTTGCATTAATGTACCTTCTGGAGCCATCCTGTAGACTCATATAGGCCATTGGTTAGTAGTGTGGAAAACCCATGTTGCCATCTTCCATTTTACTAACTTTTGCCCCCAGATTTAATTTCCACAATCAAAGCAATCAGGAAATAACAGTAAGTGTAGATTTTAAATTAACTTACAGTAAGTTTGTCTTGAAATTTCTCATGCATCAAGGTCAATGCATATTCAAATTAATCCTCTTTCCACTTTTATCAAAACATGGGGAAAACAAAAAAAGAAATCAACATCCCATCTACATGATGTTTATTACATTTCATCCTAAGACTTTGCTTATCCCTCAGCCTCCACAAATACTAGCTGCTATCAGTCTATGTCTTTTTGAAACTGAATTTAAAAAACAGAAGACAAATCTAACATCTTCCCCTGGTTGACCCTGAGAAAGTAGTTTCATTTGTGTCAGTTCCTAAGCCTTGATCTGCAGTGAGATCTGATACCTGAAATCCTACCAAGCCCCTCTGGCCCTCTGTAGGACCAGAAAAACTCAAGTCCTAGACTCCATATTGGTAGCTCGGGCAGCACAAATGCCATCCTCAGAATTCCAAAATCAGTCAAGGCATAGAGCAAATCAAATGAGCTATTTCTAATCTATGTGCTGAACTGGGACTTTTCGTCATGGTGACTGGTCACTGAAGTTTTGGGATGAGTAGTGTGTAGTCAAAACCAGAGGTTTTCCCTTTTTTTTTCCTTTAGTTAAAGCTGTTTCACTGAGCAAAATAGATTTAAAGTATTATGGGCCCAGAGAGTCATTAAAGATGAAATCTCCAAGGTAAAGCAAAGAAAGTAATTTTAAAGGAAAAATTAAAAAAAAAATAATACATAATACAAAATAATGCATAATTTTAAGGGAAAAATAATACAAATCTCTGCCATTTCAGATGACAGCTCCAAGCACTAGACTACAGGCTCACATGTCCCTGTATAGGCTATTGCTGCCCCCATTTTACATCCTCTGCAGGACAGGAAGGAGAATCCAATGTCACACACCCAAACACACAGTTTTCCTCAGCAACCCTGGGTTGGAAGTTCTTTGGACTGAAAAAAAGCCATCCAAAATCAGTATCCTTTCTCTTCTTTGATGCATGTCCTAACCAATGAGCTACTTTGAAGGTGTCATTTCTATCCCATGTTTTTAAAGAAAATATTAATTCTTGATTTCCCCTCTGAACAATGTCAAACTTGCACTCTCAGGTGTGGACTGCAGGCTGCAGATAAGTAATGAGGCCTTGTGTCCAGCTGGCCTTCTCAGTCAGTATTAGAGAGAATTATAAATGCCGGTCATGATAATAACAGAATAATCAGTGACAAAAATCATATCATATTAAGATGATAACAGGACTATTTCAAGTTGTAACTGAATATCAAATATCTAGTTAAGATAAATTTACTATTTAAGCACGGCAGATCTATTATTTATTTTGTGGATTTGATTTTAGCATAGAGAAATTAGTTGGTTAAAACCAACTTGGATCCTGAGTTTGTACATTTTCTTTGGTGATGTTACTGCTGTTCTTGCCACTGGCCCCATGAACACCTGGAGCCAAGGCCCCACCTCCTTTGGCTGATGCCATTTTGTCAATGAAGGTGACTGAGCTGCTGCCACACCTGAAGGACACCTACCTGCCTCCCAGCCTCGTTGTTGTGCAGGTTCATCGCCACCAGCCCACTCCCGCTCTTGCCTGTTACGTTCTTGAAAGGCACGTCCAGGAACTTTCTGCTGAAGGACATCCCATAGTGGATATCGTCAGAGCAGCCGCCCCAGTGCCAGCCCTCGCTGGCCGAGCCGCCGTGCCGCAGGGTGACATCGCAGGAGCACTCGGTCATGTTCCCCGCGCTGCACGACCGTGTCACCGAGTGCACAAGCCCAGCCGCCGTCACCGCCGAGATGAACGCGGTCTCCTTCGTGCCTGCACAGCAAGGCGCGCAAACATTACCCATCACTGCCTCTGATCACCTTCCTGGCTGGGCTACAGAAAGGGACTTTGCAAGCCAGATGATTATTAAAAGGGAACAGTTACAAGTTTGAAGTCATCACAGCTTGGTCTGTAGCGTGAACTTCAAAGACGTTCACACCCCAAAATTATTTCAGGGCTTCTTCATATGGCCATGCTATTAATGATGCTGTTTCTCACCACTTGTACCATGCAATTTTTGGTAACTTCTTTCCAAATCTGATAAGGAATTTTATTTGCCACAGAAATTTTCAAGCCGAATAATAAATAAAGAATCAAACTCCAAACTAACCACATTCCAAACTCCTTACTCTCCACTCTGTTTTTCACTATTCATATTGATTTGAAGAAGAAAAGGTCAGTCTAAATCTCAGAGAAATTGTCATCATCCCAGGTTACTTTGGTACAGGGCCAAAACTTACCTCATGCTAAATTTAGCAAACATTGATGTTCTTCGAATTCACAAAGGTTGCAAAGAGCTCCAAAAAACTTAAACCAGGCAGAAATCAGCACAAAGATATTTAGCTTTTCCTAGAATAAGCTGGCCATGGGAAAGACAGCAGCATAAAAGGCCTTTATTTGTTAGATTGTATCTCAGAAGACTCATGGAGGGACCTGCCTGGGCTTCTTACACCTGACCCATTCTCTGACACTTCTGGCATAATGTGGCACCCATCCACATTTAACACATTATTATGTTAAGTAAAGCACACTCTAAGCAAATTGAATATCATTGAGTGGTCAATAAATGTAGCTGAAATTTTACTGAAGTGGGCAAATTTTCACTGCTGTGAAAATTATTTATTTCCAGTCTCCACAGCTTCTGCTTATGGGCATGAAAAGTCCTGTTTGTTTCTCCTGTTTGTATTAGTCTGTGGTACTAGTACCATCATAAAAGTCTTCCGCAGTACACACTAGTGAAGCTTTGTGGGCGAACAGTGGCATTCATTTATGGGTCTTCAGGAACAGTCCTTTCTGTTGAACAGAAGGACTAACACACCTATGGCTCCATACAGTAGGGAAAATTTTCATTTTCCTTTTTACACCTTTCCTTTTTGGAATATGCACCACTTTTTATTCCTCACTTTATGTTTTCATTATTAAAACTTGGGGGTTTTACA